CATATATTACTAAACTTGCGTCAGTCCACAGACTGTTTCGCCACAATAATTCAATATAAGGCTCAAACAAAGCTGTTGATTGGCTCCCCCAGAAAGTCGGGGAAAAAACAATGAAATATAGGCACCGCTGAACAAAATGTGCAGGACTGCACGTAATATTGCACAAGTACAATGTATGTATATGTACATGATGTACATGTACTGGGGCTTCAGCATGCAGCTCGTGCAGGCATGATGACCCATAATTACGTTGTTGGATATCGTCAGCACCATGCGCGGTGCGCCATACACCACATGTGGCCTAAATTTCTGAAAATGATGATGTATCGGTGAGGACGTACCATGACATTTTTTGATCAGTCTTGCCAAGAAATGAAACATTGTTGGCCAGCTTGATTACCTGACTAGTGTTGTGCACAGTAGTGTAAATTGTCCATAATTCTCAAGAATTGTTGAATGTAGAAATGTTTACATAGACTAAGGCAAGTTTTTGTCCCTTCTTGAGGCAAGTTTTGGTTGCTTTCGTTCCCATTCATGCTATTCAATCAGCACAAAAAAATTGACCCACTTAATGATGTAGTGCGTCAGACCCTGAATTTGGTAATTTTTAGGGCAAGGCCACTTTGGCATTGCATTAAAGCAAACTTATAGAAGGCATCATGGCCAGTTGGGAGGGCACCAAGGCCAGATAAAATCTGTAAATGGGCATGGAGGCTAAATGACAATCATGACATGTATACACTGCATACACGTCCCCACAGCCGCACGTACCCACGCACACCTCATACACAAACCTCAATGTGAATCAATGTGAATTGTATACCACACCTACAAGCACTGAGAAAGATGAAGTCAGGCAACTCTGTATGTGATATCTTTCACACGTACTCCTGCTGGAATGTGAGTGCATGAATAGAGGCATTTATTTTTGTAGCGGTGGTGTCGCTGCTTGAAGTATTCCAGGCCCGTGCTTCTATGTACATGTGTACAGTACATGTACATGTACACTGCATGCTTTGTGTGGACATACACAATGTACATTCAGTGCATTGACAATAAAGTCGGAGCATGTTGTATGCAACGTCTGTCACTGTCTGTGCATCGATTCTGCAAGATTTTAAGACAATTGGGTTTGCAAGCATCGTAAAGCAAGGATTTTTGTGTTTTAAATAGGCTTATGGATGTTTTTGGAAAAAGGGCATGATGGCCACAGAAAATATAGGGCAAAGCAAAACTGGCTGTGAGGACGGAGATTTTTTGTGGGGCATGTCGGCCAGTGGGAAGGGCAGCGATGGCACTGGCCATCATGGCCATCGTTCATTTCAAGGCCTGATGCGTATTGACCAATCAGGAAGATGGAGAACCATAGAGGCCATCATGGAAGTAATATACTGTGATGTTTGTGAGGAACATTGGTAAAAACTGAGCCTTCACCCCTAGAAAAAATATGGCATACGTATGCCAATGTCCCAGAATACGAAAGTACTTATTTGTGGTAAAATTGGGTTGTGGCAATGTTGTGAAGGAATAGAATTCCCTGTGAACAAAAATTCCTCAATTTGAAACAATTTTCATTATTGCATTTTTCAAATTTTTTCCACATTGAATGCTCTGAAATACATTGTAACATGGAAAATACATAATTCATAAAAACATAACAGTTAGCAAATCTATTGCCTACAACTTGAAAAATCTGCTGAATTCTGCATACTGCCGTAGCTCATTAAGTATGCATTAGATAGGTCACAGTTAGAAGCTCACATATATTTAGCTCACATCTAAACGGAACAACTGTGTGTGCTGTGGACTGACTGTCTAGCCCATAACTGTACATGTTACACAACAGGTTTACATCACATACTCAGTGTGGATATCCTTTGTTTTCATGCAGTTAAGAACTCTGTATTTGTTCGGTTTGTACGGTTTCCTTGACTGTTCCTTGTCCTTTTGTGTCGATAACCCAAACCCCAAAATAGCTCTGACCCTCTCAAAGAAGGTAAATGTAGAACCAATGAGTTTCTGTTTCAAAAATGGGTATTTTCCATCTCGCCAAATCCCAAATTCTGCCTCGGAAATTCAAATTCAGTTTCATAAGGAAATAGGAGAGCAAGCTTTAGACTATGCATGGAAACCACATCCCAACCACCCCCCCACAAGAAAAGAAAGAAAAGAAACAAATATTGTTCGTAAATACTCTGCAATGTTTGCAATTTTTTATAATTTCTGGGGTGAAAATAAAAAAATACACACAATAATACGGCATCCCCCACCCCTTGATATTTCCCACTGTGCTGGGGCGCAATGATCAGAAACTTGCTACGATTAATCAACGGACGATTCATGTGCCACTCCTTGTGCATAAACTCATATTACATAGAAGTACATGTACAGTGAAGTCACAAATACAAGTAGGTCTTGCATGTAACAGTCATTGATCACAATATGTTAATGTTGGACATCGACCTGCCATTTTATTTGGCAGTAGTGCGACAGTAGTGGTTGGCATTTATTTGTAGTACTTTGCAGAACGTTTTCTTGACTTTTTAAGCCATTCTTAGAGGGAAATTTGCAAGTTTCGTTTCAAGCAGTGGATTCTGTTTCAAAGTGTTGATTTTGCAAATTCCATCTGTTTTCTGTGATCGCAAAAAAAACATTGGCTCTATAAATGTCCTAAGGATGTGGGTAAGTCCAGAGAATGTCTTCCTTTCCTGCATGGTGTGGACGTTTTTGGTTTATAAGTTCACACTATTTTTTTGTGTAAGGTTTTCACACCCATCCACATGCACCCTTCTTGCATACATGCACTTAAAAAGTTACTGTGTGAAGTACAATTTCTAAATCTCACTTGAACCAGACTTTCTTTCTCTGGGTTGATATTTTGACCAAATGATGGTCATGTAAAAAAGTTCAGTTTGCAACAACCTTGGAATTTCATCCCTTTAGGTAACTTCCAAAATCTATTTCTACAATTCTTGTAGAGTACTGTTTAAGTACCCCACAAGGGCAACAATTTTTCTTCATGGGATATTTCCTATTGTTCTGGAATGCCACAAGGCGCAATAAACACAGGCACACAAACTTCTTACACAGTTACAGGGGCAAACACATGTCCCAACAACTCAGTCCTAATTGCCAAACAAAAACAAAAGAATTGTCCCTTTGATGCAGTGAAGGCCTGTCCACACACACCCACAATTATTTTGTAGAGACTTGTATAATGCATTGTGCACTGTACAAATGCACTTGGTGTAAAGCATTAAGGACCAACAGTAAAAACTTAAATTCCATCAATATGACGATGCCCGGTCACAGAGATATGCGTGAGCCTACAATTTTAGGCTTGTGAAAAATTACTTACTTCATTTGAAAGGTCTTCTTGCTCATGCTTTGCGTGGTTGATTCGCTGATTCATCTCTGACATGAACTTGCCAAATGCAAGTTTAAAGTCATCAATTTCTCTTGTTAACTTATCACGTTTCTCTTGCAGGTCAAAACGTTCCTTCCTTTCCCTTGTCAGAATGTCTCGGTAGTCATTAATCTGCTTGCCTAGTAGTTGAACGGTGACTCTGATTAAAAAAATGACCATAAAATATTTCATCAATGAAAATTCTTCCCAGAATATTTATTTACCTCCCATAAATGTTCATGTCATAATTTGTGTTACTAAAACAAACTTAACATACTTCTCCCTTTTGTTGGGTTACAGGGAGTATAAAATCTAAACATAGGTGAAGTCACTACCAAGAGAATCTTGAATGAATTTGAATCTTGAATGAATTTAACAACAGTGTCCCAGTAGACTTATCCATGCCATGCAATGTTTTACACATCACAATGCAGCATGGATCATACTTTTTAATTGCAGTCTTGAAGGACAGTTTTACTTCTGAGGACAGGGAAGCTAAATAACAAGTAATTGTTGGTAGATTCCTATCACACCATAATGGGAAAGTCAATATCAAAAATAAACTTTAAAACCCCATTTTGGAAAAGGGCAGTGAAATAAGGGTGTCATAGTGTAATTAAATGACTGAAACTTAGGGGGGTGAAGTGACAGAGGCAACACTTATCCGTCCCTCATTTAAAGGCCTTCAATAACTGGTGTGTTTCAAGCCACCATGAAAAGAATCAAAGTCTTTGCATACATGTACCTGGATGAGCCTGGTTTCTTAGTCCTCTTTACTGATTGATAAAGTTATATATAGAGTCAAAAGATTAAATTGTTTTACTGAAGGAAGTGAAGTTAAGTACACTAGCCACTACCATTTATCCAAACCTGCTAGAAGGAAGGAGATCAAGCCAGAGCTTAACGGTAATTATAAATTGATTTTACTGTTTTATTGTCACCTTGTTGTGAAATGCTGTTCAAGTTTGCATGCCTGAGGATTTTAAACATTAGTTTATTTTATTCATCCTGACTGGTCTTAAACATTAAGAGCAGCTCAGGGAAATGGGCTCTGATAATGCCCTCACCTGGATCACTGCATTAGTTGCGTCCAATCTACTGTGCCAGTTATAAATAAATGACTGGCCAAGCCTTTATTTATTCCCTTATTAAAATGTCAAGTTTAAATTCGGAAAATTTATAACAACAGTAAAGAAAATGTTTTTACAAATAAAACAATCTACAGTAATATGATTACCAGACTTTAAGGTGAGCTCCATAGTTTAAAAGCAAAATCATTACCAACTGGCGCAAAACTAAAACTAAAAACTTAATAGCATGACAGTTAGTACATGATTTTATTTAGCACTACCCCAAATGAACTACTATCTCACAAAAACCTCTATCAATGCAGCATCCTGGTAAGTCAGTACTATCTGCAAAATTCCACATGCACTTCTTGTATATACACGGTATATTTTTGTGTATACAGTAACAAAATAGCTTAGTCAAGTTTAGCTGCCTGACTAATTCAGAAGATGATGACATCATTCTAATGTAGCAAACAGTGTGAAGGGCATGCATGATATCAGTTGTGTTGGTGTTCATGGGTGTTATAATTTGTATAGACATCATTTGCATAGTACATGTAGACAGTTGCAAATTGGGTCTTTTCATTTCTGGGCTACACACAAAGGCCAATCACCATATATGCAAGAGCCAGGGTCTGCCTTCTTTTACCTTGTTCACTCGCGCATGGGCTGAGAATAATAGCTGACAAGCGGGCTGAGGATTTCAATTTTTAGGGCAGCTCTTACCATCTCCCGGTGTGAAGCGGTTAAAAATCACAAGGTTTTATTTTTTTGGAAGTTGGCCGGCTGCCCTGGTGGGAATTCCAAAATGGATGTATATGTTTAGGTACAGGTTTTGTATGTACAGCAATATGCCCAAATTGACCAATTTAGTGGTTTGTGACTTAATTTATGTATCATTCCAGGGACCTACGTCAGTCAAAACTGTTCACATACATATCATCAACGCCCATCATTAACACTTTATAAATCAACAAATGTGTTAACTACATGTATCCATGTGTTTTGGTCATGTAACTGTGATTTCAAAATTAGAAAGCTAAATGTCTCAATATTGGAGATTCTGTTTCAGAAAAACTGGTCCCGGAACTCCTCCGGAGAGGTCATAATTTATTTGGACCATACCATTATCTTGTGGGGTGATACCGAGACGAAATAATTTACGTGAGGTAAATTTCCAAAGTTTTATAAATAAAGTTTAATTTCAGACCAGTCCAAATTCTCTTTTAGGTCGCTAGTTATGTTTATTTTATTTATCAATTTTATCAGCTAGTAATGACTTTTAGGTGTACTGATGGCACATTGGCATTTTGCACATGACCCATTAAAACAGCTCTTGCAAAAGCAATCTGTCAAAAATGACAGGATCGCTGGTGGTAAAATTTCACAGATTGTCTGACACTAATATGTACTTGCTTTACAGTAAGATATTTCAAGATAATTCAATGGTCCTGTTTTTGAAATCTTACCAATCCCATAGGCTTACACACCATAGCGCAGGGCAGACACCTGCACTCAGCAGATATGCGAGTACATCTACACGTGGTGAGTAGAGTGGGTGTGTACAGTAAATTTCTGATGGCCCCAGATCACATGATGGTATAAAATGCACGTGGTGAAAATTTACCAATGACCAACCTGGAACACATAAGGAATGGCATTTCAGCTGCAGTACTAAATTCTTACTACATCCAATTGTGCGCATGTATATTCAGACCCATATTATGTATGCCAATCTCCAATATTCACACCCTTACATTCCATATTTGGCCTGTGATGTCATAAATGAACATACAAAACAAATTTTGATTGGATGCTGATCATAGTTGGACTCCTGTTCAATCGAAGGCAACTCCGGAGGGAAAAAAAAAACGACCATTTGGTTGGCAAAACATGTTCGGAAAATGTCACATCGCCTCAGAAGGTAATATTTCATGGAATTGTAACACCTAAATATACTTTGGAAAAACATGTAAAACTGTTAAAATCAAAGTTACTCATTTATATGGAATGGAGAAGGAGATTCAATACTTGCATTAATGTATCATTAATACACAGAAGTACTACATCACATTTGTAGGGAGCTCCAAATATGTCTCAATGCACGTGTACAATACATGTACATGTACATGTGCGTGTACATGTTCCAACCCGAACTAAATATAGGCAAAAGTATTCTTAACGTGACGATCAGCACAGGCAAACATGCCACTTTTGAATTTGTTTCTGTTTGTTGCCATGGATCAACCAATCAGAACTTAGAATTCAAGTTTGCCTGAAGATAAAGGTAATACTTTACTTGAGAAGGAAGGATGGATTATCAAATCGACACAGAACCATGCAGCAAAAATGGAAACTTAATAAATCGAACATGCCTAGAAAGACACATTCATTATGTTACGGCACTGAGAAAAGAGGGACGATCATGGCAGCGAGGCCGAGCTGCACTGTGGTAGATGGGTGATCAAATCTTTTCAGCAAATAAATAATAGGCACCAGGAAAATTTGCTGAGGTAGTGACTGTTTGGGTAGGTAGAGCGCCGTAGACTCTGAAAATTTGGGAACTCTGTGACATTTAGGAAGCGCCATTAGAAACCAAAAGTTGAGCGTCCATCTTTAGTTTCAACTGCAAACAAGAGGTGTGACTGGATTAAGTCCATCGTGTACAGAAGAAAGATGGTCGAGACACATTTGGGCAAGGAGAATGTTAGTAGGTGGAACCTCATAAAGATGGCAGAGGAACCAGGTCTACCAGGCTCGCTCTCGGGCTGAAAATGAGCTCTTGTGAAAAAGGCCCAGGTGGAGAATGAGAGCCAAAATCAGTTAAATCGGAAAATGTATAAGAACAGGAATGAAGAGATTGTTTCAAAATCACAAGCTCCAGTCTCAACTGTACATCTGTCTACAAAGGGCCTGTCGGCCAAGTGTTTAATTTTTGGAATGGCTCGTTGGTGAAAAAAGGCAGTAAAAATTGTCAAGGTGAGGACTCCTAGGACACTGACAGAGTCAAAGCTCAGAAGTTCCCCCAACATAAATGGAGTAGAGGAAGTTGCATTCCCATGGGTGGACTGGAGTGTAAAATAAGAAAAGTTCAGATCTACCAATGAATCTGGGTTGAATCTGACAGGGGCTGAGTTACTGTAGAAGGAACCCATGCATATGTAGATTGGAGTTCAATCAAGAGTTGGGCCAAAGGAAGGGACAGACATGAATCCGAGTAGTCAGCTGAAAGGGAAGACACAGGTATTTCATCTGACAGTCCAAATGCCTGCTAGAACCTTACTACTGTAAGTTCAGGCATTTAGGCCACTTGAGAAATGGTGCAGTCACTGGTGTCAGACTCAGGGAAAGGAGGCAGCATCGACATTCCCTTCGGGTCTGTATCTTCTACTACTGCCCATGACAGTTGAGAAGAGGGAAAGCAGGACTCGACTGATGTGGAGCCGGGGGGGGGGGCGACGGAAAGAGGAACGAGAAATTGTCCCAGTGTTTGTCCTCTGAATCCATTGTGGCATCCGGTTTCTGAATTCCTCGAAGACAACGGTGCCTTTTTAGTACGACTGAAGTGGGGGCTGGAGAGCAAGTGCAAAAAGGAAGGTTCTCTGATAAGACAGCGATGAAATAAATCGTGAGGAAAGATTCCACATACATGTAGGCCAGATAAAGATGGTTTGACTGCATCTTTATCGAGCAAGGAGTTATTGCCGGAAGACTAGCTAAGTCAGATGAAGTCGATGTTAGCCACAGTCTATAATTTTTGGACATGCAAGATGATGCTGAAGCATTCATGAAGAATTGCAAAATGAGCCTTGTCTTATGTTCAGAGCGGCCGTTTATATCCCTTGGTAAGAGGACTTCAGCCATTTCACAGTATGATTGGGAATTATTAAAGTCAAGCCACATGCATTCATTCATTCATTCATTGCTGGTTTATTATTAAAATCTCAATTGCAGCCAAAGGCTGAATTGCTGAGAGTTTTACAAATAAACATTTAAAAATACAAGAATTACAATATTAATACAGGATTACCAAAAAAGACAAAGTATTTAATGAAATAACCTAAAACTATACACATATATGCTGAAAAAGAATAAATAAATAAATACGATATTGATGGACAGATAAAATGTTAAGTATATAACAGGGTATTCGTCATCTAAGTTAGTAGGTAAAAAGTAGAACACATATTAAAAGTCATTCTGATCAACAGTGGCGGGCACATGCACAATTGATATGGGATTCATGTTGAAAAATGGTGAGTCGGCAAACAGTAAAAATCTCTGAAAACATTGCAAAGTGGGTTCAGATGAAGGCAAGCGCATAAAATGGAGTTAATTACAATCATTTAAAAGTTGAGTGAAATAAGTTATGGGACTTTTCTTAAAACATTCTGTTCTACAATGATGTGCAGAGTATTGTTCTGATTTTCGCAGTCGATAAGCACTGTAACAGCAGGGGGAAGGTGCTTTTTCAACTCAGAGTTGGATATGGATTTTCCAAACGACTTGCACAGTTTTAGCCTACGTTCCTGCAACGTATCTATTTCAAGTGCATCATAAAGAGCGTTTAGAGTCATATTCCAAACCAAGAATAATCTTGCATGCCCGTTTCTGTACCCGTTCTAGGTCCTCGGAATGTTTGCTAGTGATTCAACTGGTCCAAACAGGAACTGCGTATTCTACAACAGGGTGCACAAATGAAATAAAAACAGCAACCAAAGCTTTGGTGGTAAGGTGAAAATGCTTCAATTTACGCATGAAGAGGCATGAATTACCATGTCTGATCACTGAGTTAACTTGCGTATCCCATTTGAGATCTGATTGGATGAATACGCCTAACAATTTAACTATGTTGTTGTGTTTAATAGTGACATAATTGAGGTATAATAAACTTGAAGCTGGTCTGACTCGTGAAAAACAGACGTCTAAAATCTGACACTTAAATGGGTTTAATTGCATCTTATTTCTGATAGAGCAGTCATGTAAGTCAGCTAGGACCTTAAGGAGGTTAGATCTTACATTCACGGCCCATGTTTCTACGAAGGTCAGATCATCAATGTTGAACACTGATCCCTATATTGGTCTTATTAAAGCTGATATCATTAACAGCAGCTAAAAGACTACAGGTCCCAGTTTGGTGCCCTGTGGAACACCAGTACAAACAGGTGACCAATCCGAATAAGGATGACCATACCTCACGATCAGACAGAAAATCAGCCATCAAAGCTACAACAGTGGAGGAAACCCCAATATTCAAAAGCTTGGTAAGGGCCATGGTGTGATTGGAATTGGAAGAAAAGAAAAATTGCAAGTCTAAAAAGGCACATCCAAGGATAGAAAATTGCACAAAGAAATAAGTATCCTAATATCTAATTTATTCGCTGGCTTGACGTATTTGAAGAAAAGAAAACTTGCATGTCGAAAAGGAGCAGCCGAAGATAGAAGATTGCTTCAAGAAACAAGTATCCTAATATCCCCTTTGTATTCGCTGGCTTGATGAGTGCAACAGTAAGTGGAGAAATGGATGGAGCCTTGCCCCATATGCCTCTTCATTTCGATCATGCGGGGCGCAGTTGGAAGAGGTAACCGTGGCACACTCATGACAAAAGGAAGTGCTCACAGTAGGTCCACTTCTGTCAGACCTTGTAACAGTCACAGAATGTAGACCTTGGACACACCCACATTGGGGGAACTCATGCCCAGACAGTATGTGGGGTGTGGCAAGGTGGTGCGGAAGAGTCTGTAGAGATCACTCATGTTATAAGTGGGTGCAGATGCACAGATATAATACCAATTGGATTACTAGATGAAAAGAGCATGTAGAATCCACTACTGTGTGAGGTTTGGTGAATTCGGATGCCCGAGGTGCGGATACTGATTTGAATGGCGTAATCAACATGGCAGGACCAGTGATGGAAGGGAGCCTGCCTCGAGATCACTGTTGAGTGTTTCACACCAAGTCTCAGGCATCGGAGGGCTCGATGGAGCAGTCAATGTGGTGGTGGTGGTTTGCGGGTGAGTCATTGACTCATGTACCGCAGGCATTCATGAACAGGCACCAGTGGTGAGAAGATTGCACACGGTCGGCTAGTCATACGTAGTCTTGTGTCGTATTCACTGAAATAGCCCCAAAGAATGGTGGTGAGTTGCCCGGAAAGCAAATTTCTCTGTTTGCTGCCTAAGTGGCCCCTCGCACAGGAGTCTCGGGTGCAGGCCTTTGGGCTGATGCAAAGTGTAGTGATCAGAGCTATGAGTGCGGCGAGTATACGTGTCCCGGGCTCACATTCACCAGAGGCTGCTCCAGAAAATGGCATTGGCCGTCCGGTGGAGTGTACCTACTGCACGCCAGGATGCACCAAAGCGCGGTCAGATTGAGGCAGAGGCGTGGGCCTGAATGGGTGGACAATGGAGCGCCATACGGCAAACAGAGGTCTTGACGGATGTGGTCTGCATTGTACTTGCATGGCCTGCCTTCTTTACACTGGTACCACACCAAAGTCATGGCAGGGGCGGTCCAGTGGCACGTAGATGGGCTGGCATGTGGGTGGCATAGGGCTGTCCCACCGCAAGCCTTTCGAGTCAAGCCGCATGAATGGGACGAGCCACGCCTCACGGCAGTTCCATTGTCTGGGACGCAGGTGGAGATGTGCCTGTGTAGCCCAGCGTTGTCTCTGCAGGGGCCACCCCAGGAGGTAACAAGGTGTTGGACTGGGACAGGGTAGCATTCAGATCATGCCTAGGTGCACCAGTGGAATGATTGTTTGAAGGTGGTGACTCGTGGCATGAAGCAGTCGGGAACATGGATGGATCTATGTACCTGGGTAGCCTGACCTTGTCTCTGCAAGGACCACCCCGGGAGGTAACAGGGTGTTGGCACAAGGCAGGTCAGCGTCCAAATCATGCTGTGCATGATGGGAAGGTCGTCTGAAGGCGGCTGCTCATGTTGTGAGGCGGTAGGTGTACCTGGTGTGGCAGGCTTGGGCCATCCCGGCACATGATCTTAGGAGCCATACCGGTGGGTCAGTATCGTCTACCTTAGGCGCTGGTAGGGAGACCGCTGTTGGACTTCAGTGCTTGGGAGCTGGGCATGGAAATGTTTGCACCGCCCAGACCCAGCTAGCAGAGGAAATATTCACCCCGAGTGCAGCGCCGCTCTACACTACCATTGTCTGTGATGCGATTTGGAGATAAGGGAACTGAGTGTCCAGATACTGAACACTCTATAGCTTAGACCCTGGAGTGTGGCATAGCTAACCCTTGACTGGACAGGGAATGGTTCTGCCAGTAGGTGTTAGTATGGAATCTCAAGTATAGCGTACAATGCAGACCAACTCCTGTCAGTTTATAGGGGAGAGTGGGGCCATGGAACAAAATACTGCACTACCTCACAAAACCACAACGGTCCCAGGGTCGCCCCGTTGACCCAATATATCTACTAGGAAGGTGGGGGACCGTGGAACGATTTGCCATACTTCCTTGTGGAACCCCCAACCAATCTGGGTCACCCTGTTGACCCTATAAAAAGTACTTGGTGTTACTGAAGCATAGAGTTAACGTGGAGCCTATGTATAATGCACACACAGAAAGAGAAAAGAAAATACAACAAAAACAACAAATATACTATAGGAATGTGCATTTATTACCATGCATTACAGTTGACCAGATTAACACAGGAATCTGTTGCAAAATGGAAAACTTGAGAATTTGAAGATGCTAAAATTGACACATTCGTTAAGAATCACACTAACGAAAAAAACAAACATGGTGGCAGTGCCACTATGCATCATGGGCCTGGAGGGTGCACGACGGTTGATCAACATTTTAGCGAATAGAATCACAATGCAACAGAATTTGCATATTTAGTGACTGTTTGGGTAGGTTGTGTGTAGTAGACTACATGTATATGCACAACAGCGATGTTATCTGCATGGAATGTTAACTTACGGTCAACAGAAAAAGGGCCCCAGAAAGTAAACATTTTGCCTTAATCAATTCTTTTTCACTTTGAAAGGTAATCCGTTGAATTTCAAGGAAAATTCAAATGACTATCTGCTTTCAAGTGGCTCCAAAAGAGTTCACTGTAATAGACCAGTTCAGATCTCAGATGCAGTTGCTAAACCCTCAAACAATTTCACCATTACACTGGACTTCTATCCTGTATTAAACCATTTTTGTTATTTTTCAGGCCCACATAACCGAAAGTATTACGTCAACTCCATTTAACAATTCAGAGGGAATAATTATCATATTTATGCATTTGATCAGCACCAAAAAGTATGAAATCTTAACAAGAAAATAAAAGGAATAAGAAAAAGTTGCCAGGAGGTTGCTTAAAATGTACAAATCTCAGTTGAAACAAAGATTGTGGTCACTGAAATTCCAGTCCAAAGGAAGAGTTTCAGAAACAGGGGAAATGCATTGACATGTTCTGAAATAAAATCTTGTGGACACCGCAACAATTAATGGCTTGCATAAATACTTACTGATGGTTTTCTTCAAGTTGCTTCATACGTAATTCCATTTCATCATTTTCTTGTTTCATACGTGCTGTCTCGTTAGCCTTCATTGTAAGATCTTCCTTCTTTGTTTGTAAACTGTAAACAATGCAGAACATTCCAAAGCTGTCTTTCGATTTACAACATTCACATACATACACATACAGGTTACACAAAACATTATACACATTTCACAAACACCGCAACAGTAAATGACAGAGCAGTGGTACACTTTGTTATAGAATTAGTGCGAGACATGTATCGGCCATCAAAAATAATAATGAAAGCTCAATCAAACGAAACAGAGCAGTGTTAAGTACCAAAGAGAATATGTCACTCGCACAATTGTGTGGGTGAAAGGCATTTGCGCGTGAACCAGCATGAGAAAAATACGCATTAGTTTGTACAGCACTTCTGCCCTAATTTAATTCCTTATTAAAACAAAGGGAGACAGAATCATGACCGTGTTTTTTTTAATTGAAATGAAACTAAAATAATTTTATAATTCAATAGTGACAATAAGGGCATAGTGTGCTAATTCACAAATATTTCAGATGAACAAATTTTACAACTAAAATAGTAATACATGTACTTAGAAAAAGTTGTTGGACAGAACTGTAGTGAAACACAAGTGTCTACTCACACATTGTCAAGATCCCGCACTTTACATCCACTGATCTCTTGATTCTCTGATGCCTCTTCAATTTCTAGCCACATAAAAACAAGGTCTTCTTTTAAGGATATGTGGTATATTGTTTTCTGATATCGTCTTAATGCACCATTATTTCCTCGTTAAAGTAACAATGTTACAGTTATTTCAGTACCAAAATTTGCTAGGAGTTTGGAAAATTCATGTCATATAAATCATTTCTTTAGTGATATAATGTTGTTCCCGTTAATAATAGGTCAGTTGGCAATGTTTTCTCGTATTTTTATTGAACAAGTTCCTAGCTCATCATTTGAACAGAAAACTCCTTACTCCTTCAAAAAAGTGTCTTCCTGCAATGACAGAGGCAACAACACCATAATTTGTGAGGAAAACATAGGAACTATTTAAATGTTTAAAAAGGATGACATGTTAAAGATCAATCACATTGGTAATTTATAATTTATTATAATCTATTATGTAAAAACTAAATAAAAATTGCTACTGACATCACAAGCACGAGTTGAAGTCTTCTTCATATCTGGCAAAATGAAAACAAAAATTGTCAGGAGCATCCAACAGAAGCCTGTTTTGATGACGTCACACTACAGCTCGGCAATGATACAACTGTTTCATTATTTTGGGGCGAGTGTACCCACATGCTGTAACTGTGAATTAAAAGAGGTTGGACAGTGAGAGCGACTTGGAATTACTTTTACATCGACAATGTTGATCAACACTGGATTGTATCATAAAGTTGAACTGTCCAAATTTGAATCAGAGTAAGGTCCTGATGAATTTCAGGCAGATGGCTGCAGTCAAACTTACTTTACCAGTTTTTTCTCTGTTCTTCTGCTATAAAGCCTGCTAATATGACCAAAAGGTCTAGAAACTCTCAAGGAATGGGAGCTATATTATGACATCATCAAATTGCTAGATTTGTTTGCTGCCCTCATTGACACTTTTTTACTCTGGGCATTTCCGCAGTAGCAGTAGTTCTTTTGAATTCCAAAAGACGAAGAGAAGCTGCCACGTGAGTCATTATATGGGTAATATTGACCAATGCCCGGCTAAATAATCTTTTTCCATAAAAGCAATGTGATTGATCTTTAAAAAACACAAATTGCCCGCCAAGTCCATACCTAAAGCCATGACTTTTAATTTGCCATCACAAATAACACCTCCATTGGGAAACCAGTTATGTTATTTGAACAATTGCCTTCTCCTTTGATTTCTGAAGGACATCAAGACCAACTGACAGATCAAGTTTGAAGTTGATGTCTCAACTACCTCTTGAGTCATGGTAGGAATATGATTTCTGTAGTTTCAACACTTAAGGACTTGGACTCCAAAAGGAATGGACTTCTGAAAAACACAATGACTAATCCACAAACTTTGAATTTGACATGGTTGGATCCAGAACCAGATTCTTGGTTTTTTTTTTGGGGGGGGACTTATTTTGGGGCCGAAATTTTACTTGTTTTTCACATAACTTTGTATGACCTTCCGAAAGGGTAAAACTTAATTTACGGGCTTTTTACACACCTTTGAAAAAAGGGAAACCAAAGAATTAACCTTTCTATCACTATTTTTTTTAACACATCAGGGTGGGGGATGGCCCCTGGTGGCCTTCCTTGGATCCACCTTGGGCAGTTTACGTGCCTAATCAAATGATGGTGAAATAAACCATTTCTTATATTTTAACCGTTTAATGACCTCAACCTTTGACCTATCTATCACAAAATCAACAGACCTATGAAAGACAGCAAGACCAACCCAAATACCAAATCTCAAGTTGAGATATCAAATTCTTTTCAAGTTGCATTTGGAAAACTGTTTGCAGAGACACAATGAACAGAAAGATGAATGGACACAGTATACATACCAGTACACTAAATGGCAAGACAAATGCTTGCTTTCAATAAAATCAGCCAAAAAGGTATTTCAAACAGTTCTCATATAAAATGTACCCAAATAAAACTATATTCACTCTGATCAAAAGAGCCCTGCACACAAATCTGTTGAAATACCTTGTTTTGTTCAGGATATACGTTGAAAAGAATTAAGTTATTTGAGGCCCATGCAGCTTCAAATAATTTATTGTCACCAGACAGTAGGTGGGGTGTGGAAGCTGGAAGAGAATTCCACCTGGGCCTCCCTTGAGTAAGATCAACAACCCAAATAATATGGGCCAGGCTATAGGAATTTGGTGGCCAGGGGGTCCAGACTGGTAAATCACTTATGTCTTAGCAGTTCAGCCAGTCAGACAGGTTAAATTTTAAATTGGTTTGAAATCTAGAATCGTGATCCTTGTTCTTGGAAATCAAAACAGCAACGGTCCTGATGCCGGTAGGAGGGGCCTAGGGAACAGCCAAAATCTTAGAGGATGACCCCGCCTGAAGAACTGCCACTGACGACTGGAGGGGCGGAGCAAGGTCCAGCACCTCAGCCAACAGTTCACACAGTTCCTGTGTCTAGAGTTGGAGAGCTAGGTGGGAGTAGCATTTCCAACACAATTTTACCCCTTGCCATATAGGCTCCAAGCCACCACAGGTCAATGCTGTTTCTTCAGCCCCAACTGTTTCTTTACTGCCGACCCAGGCGGGTCAGTCAGTTCAATCCATATCTTTTTTCCCACTCACTGATGCTAGCAGTTCTCCCCTCGCCAGTATTTGGGATGATTTGGGTGTGAGGGTTCCCCAGCATATCCAAGGCAAGATACGGACTGGGGAATTTGTAGACTTTGGCTTGCTTTTGCTTCCCAACCAAAGCGTCTAGGCAGCCATTGACTGCATGTTTATGATAGGATCACGAGTCCTCAGCATAACAAATCCATCCCCATAACCAAATACTGTGTATAACATCAGTCAAGCAGTGGACCTCAACTTTTCTGGTGTTTGACTAATTTTATTTGATTCGGCATCCCACTAGAGTGCAGCAGATACTCAAATACACTGACATTATTCGTTCAGTAGTATTGCGGCACGCAGGATTCGGATGGCATGATTATGATATTCAGTTTCAGCTGAAACAAGCACATGCACCATTCTTGGACTTCACTGAATGCTGAATTATGCCTTAAGCTGTTGGAAACTCCAACACAGCAACCTACTTTTCATCACTTAATCAGAAGGGATGACAATTTGCGCACACTTGCCAGCTTTGGAAATTTCAGTGCAGGTCAAAATGTCATGTTCCAGCGCTATCACAATCTCAGAATCTGATTCAACTTCAACTGCAGGAAGTGCATCAGAATCTGATGTTGCTTTGCCCCAAAGTGCGCGACGTACATGTCCGCGACCCATTCAGCCAATGAATACCGTATCTCCAACCACGTCGCAGCCCAAAAATCAGCCCCCCCACAATCAAGTGCCAACACCAGTCAAAATAAATTGGACGCTTCCCTTTCTTAATTTATGTTCCAACAGACAGGATGCCAATTTCCTAGGGAACAGTATTTCATGTAGTTTTTCACCTGGTCCAAGAGTCAGTTCAAATACCCGAAATTTGGTCTGGGCATTAACATCCCACTATTTTGTAGCTCAAAAATTGAGAAATTGCAGTAAGGTTGAATTGCTGGCCCTCTTTTTCTAGTCCTCACTTTCCCACTTTACATTGCTCACCTGTTGGTTTGGTGCCCAAGCATGTACACGGCAAATTTCACTCAATTCATAACCTATCATCCCCTTTAGATAACTCTGTGCGATGACCCAGTCAATATGCCATTTTCCAACATGAGTTTCGATGACGCAGTCGCGCTGGTTTCAAAGTTGGGTACAGGGGCCTTGTTGGCCAAATATGATATTCTGTTTACTCCCTGATAACCTTTGATCTGCTTAGTTTTTCAGTTAACAGGGATATCTATTACGGTAAGTGTATCCCCATGGGATGTTCCATATCTTGTATGACCTCTTAGCACATTCCTCAAGTAGTGCGCTAAAAAAGTTGCCAGCATGCCCAACACATTGCATTATCTTGATGACTTCTTACCTGCTGGTCGTCCCAATTTGTTACAAGCCCTTATTTCATTTAGGGCAGTGTATAAGAACTTCGGTGTTACCCTAGCTCATAGCAAGACTAAAGGGCCGACGACTCATATTACACTTCTCAGCCTGGCGATTGACGCAGTCAGTCTGCAAATCCAAGTCCCTCAGACCAAGACAGCTTCTGTTCTGTTCAAGGAGCTTCAGTCATTGTTGGGAGCCTGAATTTCACATGTAAGGCCTAAAAAGTTAGGCCCAGTCGCGCTTTTCTCCATCGTTTCATCTGTTCGTTTTTCCTCAGGGGCACAGGCCGACATGTTAGCGTGGCACCACTTCTTGACACATTTTAACGGCACTGTCATATTTCTAGATGATGTTTGGCATTCAAGCAGTAACATACACTTGTATATGGATGTTTCTGCAGAAGTGGAGTTTGTGGCATTTCTCAACAGCAGCTGGGTTCAATACATATGGCCTGAGTGAATACACTCCCTTTGAATGTGCATTGCTTTTCTGAAATTGTACCCATCATGCTAACATTACATTTATAGAGTAGCAGTCTCTGGGCTAAGCAAGTCATAGTTTGGTGTGATAATGAGGCTGTCATATCTACACTCAATCCCCAAACATCCTGTTGCCCTCGAATCATAAAATTGGTTCATGTGTTGGTCTTACAGTGCCTCAGGCAAAACATCCATTTTAAAGGCTTTCCCTGGCACCGATAACAGTATTGCTGATGCTCTCTCCCAATTTCAGAAGATTCATTTTTGGCAACTGGCACCTGGAACAGACCCCATTAGACACCCTTGCCTGTAGACCTTTGGAACGACTTCAGTTTCATAAAGGTTCATGGGCAATTAATTGATTTGGTTGCACTACGTACAGATTCGGTTTATCATTGAGCTTGGCAGTTGTTCTAATGGTTTGTTGTACGCCATGAATTTACAGAATACTTCATGGTGCCCATTGTTATATACAACACATGGGCTGCTGGCAGTCAGGCATTTGCCATCGATATATTCACATTTCCCACAACCTTGTTACATCATAATTTACGAAAAGTTGGATTGTAGCGCAGTATCATATGCTACTTTTCTTTTCATTTTTTTCCTATGCCATGAGAATCATTGCCAGCAGACCACAAGTCACTTGTGTGGGTTGTGAAAGATTAATTTGTACATTGGGCTTCCCAGGTGGCCTCCTCCAGTCCGTGTAGGGCATAGATCCGGGGTCGACGAGGACTGTGTCTGGGCAACTTTTCTGAGTTTTTCCTGGGGTGCTGGACCGCCAAACAGCACTCCCCCCAGTTTATCATTTTCTATTTTGCCTATTGTTCAAATCCTTAGTCACCAGTTCAGACAAATGGGGGTGTCACATTTCAGTAAGTAGGCTGCATCTGGCTTCATACCCATTGGGTTGAAAGGAATTAGCATACCTGGCTCAGTGCCCAAATGGTCTGTTATTTGATGTCATGCCTTAATATGAACATTTTTTTTTATAAGCAGCTACATGTGTACACATGCATGGAACATTATACCACAGAAAATTCTTGGTGCGCTGTACAAAGGAGGCTACAGAATCTTTTGTACAAGGATGGACATCACCTAAACACTACTGAATACTGTATTGTGTCCACTTATGATTATTCTTATTCACTTATGTTATTTCTTCTGTCTAGTTATTATTTAATGTGCGTATTTGATTCTGATAATTTTACCCCTGTGAAATTATCAGAATCTATTATCTGTTTGCCTCGGGTTGTATTTGAGCCCAAGTCACAATTGGTTTATTAGATAAAAAAAGTAAAAAGCAAATCTCTTTGCTGAGCACATTCTTTCAGAGCAGATTATCATGACCTGTGCTGACATTAAAATCTCTCAAAGGGAGTTATCCTTTGACAGATCTTTGGAAAGAGCGGCATTGAGTAGGTGGTAGGATACAGCCTCAGCTCGGTATTTCGAATCAAGTCTAGGGGCACAGTTAGAATTCAATGACAGGAAGTTGACAACAGAAAGTATTCAAGATGTTTGTTGACAGCTGTAGGCACCAGTTTGTGATCTTTTAGTGCTTTGGCTAACTGCCAACTAACTGCCTTTGTTTGGCATTCCATGGGGTCTCAAGATCTTCCCCTCCAGGAAAGGGCAAATCTCACACCAACCACTCAGAGTCTTCCACAGAAATTTCATTTTCACTGGTCTTCTTCATCTCTCTTGAAGAGAACCAGAACCTCTTGGTCAAATTGTTCACACTTACTAGTTCTACTCAGAACCACCACACTTCTAAAAGAGAGCGATTCCATGTGATGTACCCAAAAACCTCAGTGTTAAATACTGGCCTTTGGATATTTTATTAAAGTAAGTCATAACCAATCTAAAAAGCAATTTAAAAGTCAGAGATTTAAAGCCTTAATTTTTATAAGACTTTCACTAATAATTTCAGCTCTTACACTTGAAGTGATTCACAAAAATGCTTACCTTCTTTGAGATGATGCCATTTTTGTTCCAATTCATCAAGTTCATCATGTGTTTGTGTCATTTCAATATCCAGCTTTATGAAAGGATAATAAACAGACTGCTAATCATGTGCTGGTTACTAGGTTGGTATGTACATTGTAAATCTCTCGATTAAAAACTTCTCACATTGATAAGTTTATGAAATATGATTTTGCAGTAAAATGGTGACCATGCTATTAAAAGGCTTATCCAGTCAGGGGTGTGGGCAGGTGTATCCAGCGCAGATTGCCCCCAGAGATATGTTGTCATTTTTGTTCACTTTTAGGAATTGAAACTGCAAGCATTGTACAAACTGTGCCATCATCTTCTACCAGGGTGAGGAGAGAGGGAATGAAGGTTCTTTTATAGACAAAAATGATATAGCAGTTTTTTATCCATTTTTTTCTCTGGACACAAGGTCTGCATATGCTACTGGTATCACCTTATCTTGCCCTTCTCGTGTGACCCAACCCAACTTAACACTAGTACCAGATGCAACTGGCCACTTGCCAATGTACCTGAACATTACAGTACCTTTTTAGACAGTGGATATTTAGCCATCACCGGCAAATTTAACCAAATGCTATTTAGCTGGCTACAGGGAGGCAGCACCCTCGTTGATGCTTACACACAAGTAAGCCTATCATGGTTATTAAATTCCCTGCAAATTCCAAGTCGGTCTGGAAAGCGTGGACATTAAGAGATCACTCCCAGCTGGATTCGATCCTAAGCTGTCATTCCTATTTTTTGGGGGGTCTCAACAAATCTCCCCTCCCCCACCTATAGTAGGTTGAGTCTACAACTGCATACCTACCAGATAACCTATACATATACATTATTTCCTAGTCCATTACTCCATTCACTAAAATTCTCCATCACCCAGCGGTGCACCCTCACTCACTTGACTCCAGCAGAAATGATGACCATGATCTTCCTCTTTTTTGAAGTGCAGAGTGCAACGAGGCTGAGTGAGAGGTGGGGGAGGGAAGGAAGTGGGGGGGGGAGAGTCTAGTGCCCGCAACCTACACAGATTACCAATACATACGCAGAATAGCACTGCACGTAAGGATGGTGGGGAGGCAAGGACATACTGCAAATATTCTAGCTCCAATCAGGAGCAAGATAAGGAAGGAAAGAATCAAAGTGAGCAGGACAAATAAAAACACACCAAGGGGTGATGTAATAATCATAAATATCTACAAGACCAGATAAGAGGATGGGTGAAAGCCAGACTCACCACATGGCTTACTTGAGTGTATCTTCCTGCAAGGGTTAGAGAATGACCTGAAAAGGAGGATTTACTGTGATGCCGTCCCCAGCACGGCCAGTCCAAGAGAGTGGTCCCCCAGCAAAACGTCAATGAGATAACAAGAGGTACATGTAAATGTTGAGGTGGATTTCCAACATGCAGGTTTACAAATGTCCATAATAGGACCCCCTTGAAAGAAGCCCAGGAAGATGAAATGGCCCAGACATCATGAGCATGGATATGGCATCGATGTTGATCATTTGTCTTTGGAGGCTGGCCAATAAGGCATGGTAGTGTTAATGAATAACTGTGAGACTGGCCCCCAGACGTCCTTTGTCTGGTTGAAATACCATTTGCGCATCCAGATAGGGCACCAGAGTCTGTCAAAGGAGGTTGCCAATGACTGGATTACCGGAACAAAGATGTCTAGGGATTGGAAGGAGGGAGTCTGGTTCTTGGTGAGGAAACCAATCTTCGTAACCAGCTGTATTCCAAGTGGCTCCCATCGAAAGTGCCCATTAGTAATGGATAGGGCCTTAATCTCACAGCCCCTGCGAGTGGTAACAACGGCCAGAAGAAGATGCATAAAGAAGTCCCTCACGAGGGAAAGAGACGTATGCCTCGGTCAGATCCGCAGCATGCCCTCTGCACAAATAGTTGAAGCGTCAAATTCAGCTGTCACAGATTTTCCTTGTGGACAGTCGTCTACCTCTAGCAGCCATGGCAGGAGTGTCTTGAGAAAGGCCTGCCTGCTCAAAAGATCACTGGATAATATCCAACATGTTAGATGTAGACTAAGCGGGTCCAGGTGGAGGCAGCAGGATCTAGGCCGGAATTGCAGCTCCGGATGCTGAGGCAGTGACAGGGGAACATTGACCAGGAGTCTGACGAGGCAAGAAAACTATGGCTGTCTCGGCCAGAGTGGAGCAATGAGATGAACAAAGGCACATTCCCTTTCTATCTTCGACAGCACCATCGGAATAACTGATAGAAGAGGAAAGGCGTAGGCCAGAAAACCTTCCCAGGAGATGCACAAGGCATCGGTCACCCAAGCCTGCAGGTGTACTGACTGCAGAATGTGGGATGTTGAGCATTCAGGTGTGATGCAAAGAGTTCCACAAGAGTGCCAATCAAATGGAGTTAACTTTATTTAATGTTTTACGTCAAAGTGTTTGTACCAGTGGACTTGATATCAAAGCTTCTCTCAACACCAAGGGAAATTCAGTATATTTTTCAACTGATGTATTTTAAAGCACCTAAGAAATAACTTTTAAAAATATAAGCCACAAAAAAAGAACACAAAATTGACGGAAAATGATGAGAAAAGTTTGGCTCTCTTCATTCTCTTACCGTTTATAATCATTCTCACTATACCAGCATATCTGCCACGTCTTATACCTTTCAACCACCGAAAATTATCTTGAAGTTTGGCTGCATCAAAAATGTATAATAAGTACAATATGTTCGTTGCAAACCCTGCGAATCTTAAAAGGCGGCAACCAATGGCTTCAGGATTAGCATCCATAAGAGAAGCAGAGTAGTCATTGGCACTGACCCCCCCAGGGGTGGTGGGTAAGGCCGTGCTGGGTTCTGGCAGTGCTGGGAGTAGCAGGGCGTGGTTGTCCCTAGCCAGAGAGTAATGGCCTAAGGGCATGCTTTGGAGCCTGTTGCGGTCATCACAACGGCAAGGGGGAAGCATGGCGTGATGGTCTCAGGGGAACCTTGTGGATGGCTTGAGGACGAGACTCGATTGACTGGCGAAATAATATCTTCCGAGCGCTGTCGATTAGCTTGACCTCACTTTCCAGGAGACTAGAGAACTGCCCCTTGAAAAGGTCTTTGGCAGAGGGAAAGACCCTTAAGAGCAGAGTTAACTGACTAGTGGGGAATATTCAGGGCTTGAATCCCAGATTCCCTACGAGACATTGTAGCGTGGATAGAAACACAGACAAGCTGCTCAAAGCCTGTGATGAAGGAGTCATGAAGACAATGGAAAGCCATAATGACAAACTCGGGGTATGTATCTAAATTCTCCTTGCAGGCCTGAGATAAAATTCAGTGCAGCGAGGTCAATATTCTTTAGAGCCACCTCAATACGTTGGAGGTTCCGATCGGGATAAGTATGGCCAGATTTGCCTCTATGTGGAGAAATCTTATCCTTGGCCGCCTCAGGCATCTCCAGTACAGACAAGTATTATCAAAGTCACCCAAAGGAAACTTGAAGTAACATTGATGGCGGATGCCAGAGTTATAATGCTCCGCCTTGGCTAGATTGTCCATTGCATCTACGCAGGCACGGTCAAGCAGGATTTTAGGGAAGATGGACAAAGCAGAAGTTTTCCCTGGCAAACAACATTTGAAAGAGGGATGGCCCTGAGGTCTGGGGGCATAGGGCTAGGCAGTCCAAGAACCTGTATCATTTCATGCTGAAGCAAATGGAGGCAGGACTCAGATTGAGAGAGACCATTCACAGAAAGCAGCTCTTCCTCATCAGGTGACTGACCTGGGTCAGAGATATGCAGGCATGGGTCAAGGACCAGTGGGAGAATCAAGGAAATGGCTCTCAGGAGATGCAGGCTGAGACCACCTGGAAGAGAGCGGAAAGTCCCAGTGCAGGGCAAAAGATTCTCTGGAATGCACCAGGGCTAGAGAATAAGGCTCTGGATCTTGGCATGTAGCCACCAGAGGTGGTGGAGGGTAGTGTTGAACAAGCACTGGTAGAGACTTGGAAAGGGTACGTCGTGTTTCTTTTGTAGAGGGAGAGCCAGTGCCTCTCAAATGCTTAACTTTCTTCTTTTGGGAAGAACAGTTGGAGGAAGTGAGTGCTCAGTCAACTTGTGCTTTTTTCCCAAGGAAGCCCCCGACCCAGACGGCTGAGGAGAGGACTGACCGGGAGGAAGCGTGATCACAGGAGAGTCCTGTGGAACCTGAAGAACTGGACAAGCGAACTCACATGCTCAACAGTGCAGTACTGGAGCAAATAAAGGTACTGCACAGTTGTACCCCAGTAAAGCGACGCAGGGTCCTAATCCGAAACTTAATCCGCCACACCACATTCCCTACGAACTCAGGCGATCCCTTGCTTGCGTTGCGAGAGTAACAACCAGAAGAGGGGTGAAGTACAAAATATCTCCCGATCTGGGACCGATGAGGGAAAAGCTATACACTGCAAGAAAGGCCAAGCAACAGTTGGGAGAATAATATCCAAATCCGGTAATTCAAATCGGTAATAGGATAACCAGAAATAGATACATATATACAAGAATAACAAACACTAAGAACTTTGATGAATTTATTTCATAAGCCAGAAATATATATAAGAAAGGAGAAAATAACAGAATAACAAATACAATGTTCATTCTGTCAAAGTTTACACTGGAAACCAGAAGATATACAATATAATACACAATGCCAACTGGCAAGGGGAAGCCTAGAGACAAGATCCAACTGAGAAAGGTCTAGGCAAAGTCAAAGGACAGTCTGTCAACCTGTGCAAGACTGAACGAAAATATGAAAAAGGGACTTTAAAGCAATAAAAGGGAACAGTATTACTGACTGTTGAAGAATGAGAACCAGGGTAGAGAGAGTAAAGGAGTGACTGAGAAATGACACCGAACAAGTTTAGCGATGGAAAAATTCTTGAAAATATCGAAGCCAGACAAAAAGAAGTCTGTTAGTAACGGCACTAAGGAAAAAGACAGAGATCATGGCGGCTGCTGCTGTGGGAGTGAGGACGCACTACCAGATAATTCAGAATTTAGTGAATGGAGTAATGGGCAAGGAAAAATTGCATACGTATTGGTAATCTGCAGCTTGCATTTATTCCAATGTCAAAAAAGGTTACAATAGACGCCAATACAAGTGACAAGGGACTGGACTAAATCTCACGGTGACCAGTGATCCCAAAGGCAATTATATGATTGGTTTATTCAGTGTCAGAGCTTCAGTTATTGTTCACACACAATTAATTACGTAGAAAATAATCCTCAATGGTAGGTAGTCCTACATGTATGTAGTCAACTGCACCACTAACATGATGAATTAAGAAGCTTGTTATCCTCAACCTACACCAGGGTAACCTTCACGGTAACCAGTTACACCTCAAAGTAACCAGGGTAACCCTCAATGACCAGGTAACCCTTGATGACCAGGTAAGCCTCAATGACCAGGTAACCCTTGATGACCAAGTAACCTTCAAGTCAACAGGTAACCCTCAAGTCAAAACAATATACCATAGGCTTATAACCGATGAGTCTTCTTCATTATATATAACGAGTTTGCCCTTACCCATCGTATATTAATAAGCACTGTATGCTCAGTGCTTGTCCGAGAGCTTGCGACTTATACAATAGTAATCTCTACTGCTTCACTGCGCAACACAGTTCCCAAAGAGCAAAAGGGATCAACGCAGCTTAAGTAACTCTCAAATACTTCAAGCTGCAATTGTCAAATAACACGGGCCATTTGATTAAGAAGGTGATTATAACAGTCCTCACTGAACTCTAACAGAAACCTGCACCTCACAAACCTCAACAAGGAAAGCAAGCTCTCAGACCAGGACTGCAACCAACCGTTGCTATGCCAACTAGCATGGAACGACAACACGTGATCCCTTCAGTCTAGCTTTGTTAATTCCCCACTTAACTGGTTCACCCAGGTTCCCTAGCCCTATAATTCAACACTCCTTAAATAAACTGGACTGTCTAACCATTCCCCTATCTTCGATGAGATTTTAAACAATCAGCAGCTCTGCAATTGAGAGTACCACACTAGCCTATCGTAAGAGGTGCACTTGAGGTCGATGAAAGCCCCAACCACCAGCGGTCGTACATCCGTTTAAGAACACTCAGTGGTCGACTCAACTCCGCAGAGCTCTTGTCAGTATGCTGCCACCTTGTGTAGTCCTGGCAACCCATGAAGCCAGCACCCAGAACTTAGATAATGCGCGCTTCTGATTGGTTGCTGCCAGCATGTGTAATGCATGATTTACACACGCATGAATTATTACTATTAAAGATATGGTACCCTGTTTCACCACACTATTACACATGCAGTATAATTTATGGTTTACAAGTAATTTCGAACACATACCTCCATCAGACCTTGTTCCAACTGTGATTTTTTTACAAGGTGTTGCTTTTCCATGTGTAGCAATTGATTTCCAAGCTCAAACCTGCAGAAAATGAAATGATTCTTGACTCACAAGGAGAAGTATGTAATAAAAGATTCTCACACAAGATAGCTGATTTGGGGAATCATATCCCATATTGTTGACGAAAGAAATTGAAATGCAGATGGTCACATGGTCCTCTTACTCCAAAGTTACTCATCCGGCTTAAGTGAGGAGACACAAAATTTATCAGCATTATACCTGCAGTACTTCAGAATCAGAACTCCGTTACAGAAGAACTACGGGAGAAAGAAACCTTGTTTTTCTCCAAATGAACCTTTTTACAATAGCTGACAAGATGGTCTTCTGAAATTTATGGCACAAATTTCCTACATGTATTAATACAAAAAAGCAAAAACATGGATATGGACCTTTTTGCCGTGTCAAAAGTGTTCATTACAAATTAATAAAATGCAAGCAACCGTGAAAAGTTCTTTTGTGAAGTAAACATAGCAAGCAGTGTGTGCATTACTACGTACATGTACAGAGTAATGGCATAAAATGAAAATGGGACTTTTTTCTTTCTTTGTTTTCTACATTTATGTCTTGAAAATATAACATACCAGCATAGAGACTGTTACAGATTACAAGTACATGTACCTTGAGACCATTCTAAATGAGAATTTGAACTGAAACATAAATACTCAGCATATATGTTGTACAGCAAATCAAACACTTCAGGCTGACCAGGATATCTTGTGCTTGTTCTATGAAAGTGTCATTCAATCAGTAATAACATTTTCTACCATTTTGTGGTTTAATTGCTTGAACAACAAAAATTTGAAGAACCTCAAGCAGCTCGCCAGAATGGCAAGCAGAATCACTGGTATTAAGGTAAGAAAATTGAATGATATTTATGAAAAAGCTCTGTTGGCTGAACTTAACCTGATTTATGGAGACAGGAAGCATGTTTTAAATTCTCAGATGAGTTACAACAAATCGGGCATGACTGTACCATCATTCACACATTACCGTATAACACAAAGTTTCATTCTTACCACGTGTAATTCGTTTGTTTAACAAAACATTTATGAGATAGGGACTACCATATGCATCCCAGCAGGCAAAAGACGTAATTTCAACATTGAAGTTTGGTTGAAATCTGGTTGGCATGTTGTTTCAATGTTGATAACCATAATCCAACGTTATCTCAATATCACTTTTGGGATGTAGTTCAGACGTTGATATCGGTTACGCTATTAGCAACATCAATTCGATATTTACCCAGCGTTGATGATCCAATGTTGTATCGACACAGATATCATGTTTATTGGCATATTTGCAAATTGCAAAATAGGCATTCCTTTGTTGGGGGGGGCTTTTACACAAGTTTGCAAAAAAGGCATTCTTTTTGTTCTTTTTCTTTTCTTCTAATTTCTTCCTCTTCTGACCAAAAGCCCATTTGTTTTGTACACATTTCTTCCACCATCGACTTTGGTCCTTGTGATGACATCCTGGGAAAGACATAAGAAAGACACAGTGTCCGGACGCTCAGCATGTGCTTTGTTCCTGCTACATGTTCATGGCTGACATTGACAATACGATATACAGAAGGTACAGGTCAGAGGTCATTCATAGTCTTATTACATCCCCCCTTTGAGAATATACAGTGGTGGTAATAAAAGTGGAAAATGCATATAAAAAGTACAGGTAATTGTATGTTCAGAAGTAAGTGAATTATGAGTTAATTCATTGACACGATTATTTTTGGTTCTAATCCAAATCTTAAACAAAATCATGTGCATGCAACAAGACAGCGTAACTTTTATGCAGATATGAACGCCTCAGGAACAATTAAACTTGGTAACATAACAAAGCTGTTTCTAAAAACGCTTGGTTATCTAAATATCTAAGGTAAACCAAAATAAAACAGGAATATAAAAGCAAACTAGCATGTTTCATGCAGCGTGACTTGCCGGTTCAGCCAATAAGACTCTATACTACATGGGGTTTGATAGAACAACATGTCCAATAAAACTTTATGAACAATAACATTTTGATGCGATTCATTCCATCGCAAATCACTATCCTTGCGGAGCAATGCGCGGAGAATGTCAGTGTGGTCAGCTAGCCAGGGAACAAATGGTGCAAGGTACTGCACTAAACTGAGGAATTGTTGGAGCTCATTGACAGTGCCAGGGGCTGGCAATGCATGTATGTCCTGGACCTTGTTTGGGTCCGGGTACACGCCAGTTGTTAAAAGACTGGATTCCTCATCCAGCACAATGCTCCAGTACCCATGTCGTGCGTCAAATTTGCTGAATATTTTCGCACCATTGAACTGGTGGGTTATCTCCTCGAGAGTTGGAGTCTTGTGGTAAGTGCGTTTGGATGCCTTGTTCAGTGCCTGTGGGTCAAGGCACACTCGGAGACTGCCATTGTCTTTCCTGCTGAATGCCAGCGACGAGACCCAGTCAGTGGGTTCCGTCACTTTAGCAATGACATCTAGACTTTCCATTCTGTCCAGTTCAGCTTTTAGCTCCTCCTTAATTTGGATGGGGTACTTGCGCGGAGGTTGCACGACTGGACACGCATTGTCCTTGAGTTCGATATGGTACTCACTGGGAAACCGTCCAATCCCAGTGAAGCGATCAGGGTACAGTTTGCAAAGGTCGTCCTTAGTGCATATGGGTGTATTCTGTCCATGTTCCAATTGTAGGGAGGCATCACCATCTGCCAGCTTTCCGCTGTGCAGCGGTGCCTCGCGAACTGCACAATGGAGCGTAATGAGATGAAGTGCTCGCGACGTTGGAAGTCTAAGGATTGCTGGACCGTCGGTATCAGCCACAAAGACTGTTGCATCCACCCAGTCCGCGTACCGTAACAGCAATGAAGCTTGATGCAACCGTATTGGTAGATGCGCGTACCATTGTAAGCGACAAGGAGCGTATCATGTGGGGTAATAGAGCCAGGTTTAGGGAACCCATCAGCGTCGAGTATCTGCGGATACATACGTCGAAATATGTGAAGGGGTAGGATATTCCCTTACGCACCTGTGTCCACCTTCACTTTGAGGGTATGCGATCCTAGACGATGCGAAAAGTTCATCTCGGGTGTCAGATGCACAGTCACCACCTTTCGTACCATGCTGGATGCGAAAAGTATCAAACTAAATGCTCTCAAACTGGTCCTGTGCAGCTAAAACTTTGTATTCAACAGCGTCAACCTCCTTTGACTGGCGTGACTGAGAGCGCGATGGTCGACGGCTGCGTCTGGGGAGTACGAACCTCTTGTACGTGAACGCAACTTGTGTTTCGGGCGCGGTTTTGAGCCTGAACTGAGACACATGAGCTGCCAATGTCCTTGTTTGCCACAGCCATTGCACTGCGCACCATATGCAGGGCACCTGGGTGCTGTCCACCACAGTTCTTGCAATGTCCACGCACTTTGACGGCATCCACATTGGCTTTTCCAATATGGCTCAACTGGGCCATGTGTCTGACACTGGCTCCATGCGTACGGCAAATGTCCAAGGCATCTTTCAATTGCAATGTATCATCTTTCTGCAACAGCTTCTTTTGTGCTTGAGGATATTTCACACCAGAGATTAACACCTCAATGATTCTCTCACTGAGTGCTGCGTCATTTGCGAACTGACATTTCATGGCTTTAGATTTGCAGCGTGTATAGAACTCATCAACGCTCTCAGTGTCAAGTTGCAAAAATCGGTGGAATTCCAAGCGATGGATGCGAACATTTTCCTTGGGCTCTATCTGCTTGGAAAATCTGTCCCAAATGTTCTGAGGGTTTCTGAGATCATCCTCTGTCAGGCCCCATGTGTTGAACATGCGCAGGCCCTCCTTGCCTGACAATAATATAATGTAGTTGTGCTGATCAGCATCTGCAATCTTATGTACATGTACATTCAACCACATAGAGGCCGTTTGTTTGAAATCCTTATAGGCCTGCGGTCTATCTGCACTGTCCCAGTCCATTGTCGGATGCAGTATTGCATGACTAAAATTAGACTCCACCATGTTATTTGTGTATATAGGCGGCTGGTGCTTACCTCAGCATGACACACGTTGCACTCGTATGTGTAGTGATGCACAGTTTACGCGTGTAATGTACAGTGTAGTTAGTGTATGCACCGGCGATGCAGCGTTAGGGCCTTGAGCGGTAGTGACACACGAAACACGTGACAGAGCGTGAATTTGGCCACGCAGAATATAGTCTGGCACAGTCCGTTCGGGCTATAAATTTGCCGTCTTTATGTTGTATATCGATCACTTATACCGCTGCCACCATGTGATGACATCCTGGGACAGACATAGAAAGACACAGTGTCCGGACGCTCAGCATGTGCTTTGTTCCTGCTCCATGTTCATGGCTGACATTGACAATACGGTATACAGAAGGTACAGGTCAGAGGTCATTCGTAGTCTCATTACAGTCCTTTTGCAACTTGGGATCTTAATCAAACTTGCATCAGTGAAGGACCCTTGTGCAGAGATGGTCCTAGAACAATGACATCATGATGACATCATCAAGTGATTAATTGATTTTTCAATATTTATTTAAGCACATTGACTTTTGTACATGTTTTTGAAGCATCTGCAATCTCAAAGTCACACCAAGCAAAACCTTAAAGCAAAGATAATACTGAAATATTGATGTCATGATGAATTTTGAATTTTAAATATTATGTAATGTTGTAAATATCAATCATGGCCTCCTGCAAAATTCTGCTTGCAGCAAGTGGCAGAGTATAATTTGTTCTTCAATTCATCTTGCGTGAGTCAAATCACATGACCCTCCTTCTGGTCATAACCGGAAGCAGGTTTATTGTTTAAAAGTGGTAATGGGTATCAACTTGTTTTCAACGGTGTTAGTCTCTTGGAGTGTTGTATTCTTTAAACCATCTACTGATGAATTAATTTTGGATTTTTGCCCTGCCCGACGTGTATATTTTAACACTGTATGCTCAGTGCATGCCCCCGAGGGCTTGTGAAAAACAAAGCACAAGCGTACTCGGGTGGGACTCGAACCCACAACCTCCTACT